TAAAGAAGTGAGGAGTAGGGATTGATGAAAAATTATGTTTGTTGATAATGAGACTGGACGAGTAGCTCTCGGCAAATTGCCGACTTCAAAAGTAGCTCTTGGTTCAAAAAAGGTTGGGCACCCCTGCTCTAGAGCCTGTCTTGTGTGGGATTTCTCCTTCTGCCTGGCTCCTGAGCTAGTGGGGACGCTGTCTGCTCTGTGATACAGAGTCCTGATAACTCCTAACTTGTGCTCCAAAGGGTGATGGGAGTCAAACTGCAAATACTGGTCTGTGTGGGTGGGTTTGCGGTACACCTCAGTTTGCAAATGTCCTCTATCAGAGACTGAGACCTCACAGTCCAAGAAAGCCAACCTGCCGATTTTTACATCTTCTCGTGTGAACTTGATGTATTTATCCACAGAGTTGATGTGGTCAGTAAAATGTTGGACTTCCTGAGATTTGATTTTAACCCAGGTGTCGTCAACATACCTGAACCAATGACTTGGTGGTGTCCCTGAAAAGGATGTCAAGGCTCTCTTTTCTACCTCCTCCATGTACAGGTTGGCAACAATAGGAGAAACTGGAGACCCCATAGCACACCCATGTTTCTGCCTATAATATTGCTCCCCATATGTGAAGTAGGTTGACTGCAGGCACAGTTTCAAGAGTTGACACAGTTGTTCTGTAGAAAGTGTGGTCCTGCTGCTCAGAGTGGTGTCTGATTTTAATTTTAAACTGACCACCTCTACTGCATCATCAACAGGAATGCACGTAAAGAGTGATGTGACATCAAAAGAGACCATTGTTTCATCAGTCTCCATGATGACATCCCTCACCTTGTCCACAAAGTCCATGGTGTTCTGTATGTGGTGTTCTGAGCTGCCAACTAAAGGGATGAGTACAGACGCCAGATATTTGGAAACATTGTAAGTCACAGAGTTAATCATGCTAACAATAGGTCTTAAAGGTACACCTTGTTTGTGGATTTTAGGTAAACCATACAGACTAGGTGTGGCCTCCCCTGGATACAGTCTGTGGTACAGAAAACGGTCAATAGCCTTGTCCTGCTCCAAAATTTTCAGGCAATCTATTAACTTTTTCTTGTAACCACTTCCTGGATCTCTTTTCAGAGGTTCATAAGTGTTTAAGTCACTAAGGAGTGTCATGACTTTCTCATGATAGTCTTTCTGGTTCAAAATCACTGTGCACCTTCCTTTGTCTGCTGGGAGAATGATGATGTTTTTGTCCTTGTTAAGAGTGGTGAGTGCATCCCTCTCCTCTCTACTGATGTTGGAAGGTGGTGGTTTGGCATTGCTGAGGCAGGCTGAAACTTTTATTCTGAGCTGTTTTGCTTCAGCCTCTTTAATTTTGTTGTTGCGGATGGCTGACTCAGTAGCTGTGATCAACTCCACCAGAGGAATTGTCCTTGGTGCAACCGCAAAGTTCAGTCCCCTGGCAAGAATCTCTGTCTCTGGCTGGGTGAGCTGTCTGTCAGATAAATTCTTCACCCACTTTTCTGTCTCCCTGGCATGTAATTGACTACTGGAGTGTTGTCCTACACTGAATGTGTTGTTATTGGAATAGTGATGGTGTTGATGAGCTATTAGTACGTTAAACTTGTTTTGTTGTCGAGTCTTGGACTTGACATGCTGTGCTAAGCGTGCCTGATCTGTACAGTCCAACACTTGCTGAAGTGTGGTCTGATCTAGACACGTTGTTAGTTTCTGTTTAATGTGATCTTCTTTGGCCTTCAAGGCCTCAATAGTAAAATTGGTCTGTCTCACCCGTTCATTCAGCAGCTGGGTTTGTGCCTTCTGAAGGATCTTGCTTGCCCGGTGCCCGCTGACCGAAGATTTTAATTCCAGGCTCTTGGGAATGATGCCACTTTGTCAACATCTGAGGTTGAATCGCAAATGGTTCCTGTAATCTGCCCTCTTCCTTGCTGTTTTCTCAAACTCTCTAACTAGTTTGAGGCAATCCTGGCCAAAGTGGTTCAAAATATCCTGATGCATGCTCAATAATCCAGGTAGAAAAATCCAAAAAAGTTCAATCTGGTCCTCTGGACATTCAAAAAAAAACAAAACAAAGCAAATCAACAAAAAAATGTAGAAACGTTTCGTCTCTCATCCGAGAGACTTCCTCAGTCTGAGGAGCTGTATTCAGCTCAGTCTCTTAAATAGCACCGTCTCAGAGTGGATCCACCAGTTTTGCTGCTGACAACCAAAACCGGCTGATCACATGCTCAAGAAGGACCATCAGCCTAACAATGGATCATTAGCACACTGATGACTGTTTACTGTTCACAGAGGGCTGAGTGATACTAGCAATCACAGCATTGTAAGAGGGGGACAGTTGAACCCGGAGGCCTCCACCCCTGTTTAATGATGGACGGTTTCTTTTCACAAAGATGGCCTCCTTTACCCCTCTCTCAAACCATCGTTCCTCTCTGTCCAGGATGTGAACATCTTCATCCCTGAAAGAGTGACCGCTGGCCTGGAGATGAGTGTAGACCGCAGAGTCCTGGCCTGATGATGTTGATCTTCTGTGCTGGGCCATCCTTTTGGCCAGTGGCTGTTTTGTTTCCCCGATGTAAGACTGATCACAGCCCTCCTGACAC